GAGCAGAGGAGACAGGTAAGGCTGAGCTGGAGAGGAGGGTGTGGGGGTTTGTGGCTTGGCTTGAGGCTGGAGGGACCCCCCAAGGCTTCTCCCTGCTCTCCCAGGGGTTCTGCAGCCCCTTGGCTTGGGGGGGGACTCTCTGCAGCCCTCCCTGAGATGGAAGGTGGAGGTTGGGATGGGGCTGGTTGCATCCCTACAGCCCTTGGCTCGTGGGAGCTGTGGCTCAGATGTACCTGCTGAAGGGCTGTGTGTGCCTGTGGAGCTTTTCCAGCTCCTTGGGAAAGCTTGGAGCTGGGTGCTGTGTCTCTACTGCTTTCCCCTCTGTGTGTGTGTGGGGGGGTGTCTTTGCTTTTTGAGGCCGAAGGTGATATTTTATGGTGTCTGTGTGTCTTGGGTAACAGCTGAAAGGCTTTAGCTGAAAGGTTTGGGGGTTGGAACTAGATGATCTTTAAGGTCCTTTCTGGGATTCAAGTCTTCAAAGGCTCCTTCCTAGCCCTGAGATGACTCCTTGGTAACTCTCTGGATCTGTGATTGAGCAGTTTTGGGTTTAAAAGCTGTTTTCTGCTTGTTGTTGTGTGCTGAAGATCTCAGCTGGGTGAGGGGTCCACAGGAGGTGACTCTCCCACCCAACCATGCAGGGACAGCACGTGATGTGCACCCTGGACATCACAGCTGGGGGGGGGAAGCAGTGGGTGCTCCAGGGGGCAGGTGATCAGTTGGACATTCCCTTCCTGTGACAGCATTGCCAGACCTGCCTGTAGCTATTTCACATGATGGTTTGGTGTAGGCACAGTAATGGGATAATGGTGCTAAGGAAGGAGGTGGCTGAGTGGCAAGGGAACTTCTTGCTCAAGAGCATCATGTCCCCAGAGCCACACAGAGCTTTGCTGCCTTGCTGGAAAGGAGCATTGGCTAACTGGGGTGGTGTTTCTCAAGACTCAGAGGGTTTTTAATGTGATCATGAGTACCTGGAGCTGTGGCTGGCTGGGAAGGATTTCAATTACTGGAGCTGGTTCTGCTGCAACTTCCAGATGAAAGTGTGTTGAGCTGCTTGCTTTGCAAGTTCCAGCTTCCAGCTGAAACAAAGAGGTCTGTCCTCATGGAAAAACTGGTAAATGGGAAGTACTGAGAAGCTGTTTTAATTAAAACTTCTCCCCTCTTTCCTGAAACATCTCTGTTCCAAGGCACCATAATTTAAGAAAGATACTAAGCTATTGGAGAGTGTCCAAAGGAGGCAATGAAGATGGTGAAGGGCCTTGAGGGGAAGCCACATGAGGAGTGGCTGAGGGAACTTGGGCTGTTCAGCCTGGAGAAGAGGAGACTGAGGGGAGAACTCAGGGCTGTATATAACTTGCTCACAAGGGGCAGTGGAGGGACAGCAAAGGCACCATAATTTAAGAAAGATACTAAGCTATTGGAGAGTGTCCAAAGGAGGCAATGAAGATGGTGAAGGGCCTTGAGGGGAAGCCACATGAGGAGTGGCTGAGGGAACTTGGGCTGTTCAGCCTGGAGAAGAGGAGACTGAGGGGAGAACTCAGGGCTGTATATAACTTGCTCACAAGGGGCAGTGGAGGGACAGCACTGTCCTCTCTGGCATGGCAAGACAGGACCCGAGGGAATGGTCTGAAGTTGTGTCAGGGGAGGTTTAGGCTGGAGATTAGGAGAAGGTTCTTCCCCCAGAGGTGTTTGGGCACTGAACAGCTCCCCAGGGCAGTGGTCACAGCCCCAAGGCTGACAGAGCTCCAGGAGTGTCTGGACAACACTCTCAGGCACATGCTGTGATTCTCTGGGATGTCCTGTGCAGGGCCTGGAGTTGGACTAGATGATTCTCAAGGGTCCCTTCTAAATCTGGTTGTTCTGAGAGTTACTGACCCACTCATGGTTGCTGGTTGTGTAGTTTCTGTTGGAAGTGTGTGTGGGAAACTCTGCCTCCATCTGCAAAGGAGGCTTTAATCTTTGAGGCTCCCTAGTGCTGCTGGTTCATCCAGAAAGGTGAGATGGGCACCTCTGCCTGAAACTAATGTCCTCAGGTCAGAGCTAGAAATCATTTGCTCCTCCTAAAGCTGCCTCTGCCCTGGGAGCATCTGCAGCCCATTGCCCACAGGCATCCTGTGACCCAGTTCTGCATTTCTGGGGTATCAGTGGCACATCTCCAAAAGAATGTAAATAAGTGCTTTGACCACAATTGAATAGCTCTGCCCTGATTAGCCCTCCCTGCTCACCTCTAAAGCACTAAATTTAGCTTTGTTGTCCTCAACGGTCATTAAGGAATTGGCAATTAAGCTCTGCTAGCTGTGGCTCAGTCTGGCTGCACAAGGGAAAATCCCTTTGGAAGGGAGAAAAGCTTCCTGAACAAGATCCTACCTGTGTCTGCAGGACCACACAGCAGCAGGTTGTAGATGTGAGACAAAAAATAATCACCTGACAGCTGAGGGAGGTTAAAGAACCAACTCTGTGTGCTCTGGTCACAGGCAGAGTGATAGACCAGGGAGGTGCTGACCCCAGCAGGGAAGGCACTGCCTCTTCTGGCTGGTGAGCCTGGTTGAGAGAGGGACATCAGAGCACTCGGTGGGGTTGGTGCCACTGCCTGTGCTGTTTCAGTACCTTTCAGCCCTTGCTCTTTCACTGCCTTCAGCCTTGTGCCTAGCTGGGCGATGCTCAGCAGTTCAGCTCTGGTGCTATGCTATAAAAGTGCACTGAAACCATCTCTTTCAAGAACTTTCTCCAGCAGTGACCTAACGTTTCTGATGTAGCACTGGCATGAAATCATCCGAGCTTCACTTTCATGCAAAGCAAACCACAACCAATGCAAACAGTGAAGAGCTGTTTCTGCTCATCTGCCTGCTGGGACTTCCAACAATCCTCTGCCTTCTCCTTAAGGATCCTGACCAGCTGACCCAGAGTTGCCAAGCACTGTGCAACCTCTGAAGTAAAACAAGAGCTGCTCAGCACTTTGGCAGGGAGAAAGAGAAAACAAAACCATGCTGTGGGCTTAGGAAGATTTGCCCACACTGCAAATCCTGATGTTGCAACACATCGATTTCTCCTACGCAGAGGAGAGCAAACTGTGTCCCAACATGACTGTGCTGAAGGATTGGCCCTGGCACAGCTGCATCCATAATTAACATGGGATCCATGTACTTCAGAGCTTCATTCTAACCTTATCCCAGTCTTTCATCAGCCAAGGAATTGCTCTTCTAGCAACAAGAGTTCTCTCCTTTCTTTTGCTGCACAGTGTCTGTGTGTGCTGACCCTGACACCAAGGCCACCACAGTGTCAAACTCCACAGTTTGAGCCTTTCCTACCTGTCTAGAAGCAAAATAACTGAGCAAAGGGATTGTTTGGTGGTGATGAAAGAGCTGTGCTTTGCCCCATGGCAGAGCTGCAGCCTGAGTCAGCCAAGTTGGCTTCAGAAGAACAACAAACTTACCCTAAAGCAGGGCAAGAGGAACAACCACAGACAGCAAACTCCATGGATTTGGGACTGAGGTTTTATACTCAAGATCTGCTTTGTTTGGGGCAGTTTTCTACAAGTTCTCCCAGCCTGGTGATGTTGCATTTTGCTGGGCAGTTAAACTTGGTTTGCAGCAGGTTTTTAAACTAGGTTTCTACAGCAGAGTGGCAGGTTAATGGTTGGACTAGACCTTAGAAGTCTCCTCCAACCTTGATGGTTCTATGATTCCAGGTGACATTCCCAGAGGAGCAGTGAGTCCTCACTGGAGAGGCTGGAGGTGACAACTTTTGTGCCAACTGCTCAAATCTCACCAAATTCTGACTGAGTGGTTAATGCAGCAATAGTTGATATTTTGCCAAATGACCTCCTGAGATGTGTGGCCAGCGTTGGAGCCCAGGGCAGGCTCACAAATGTTGGTTTCACTACTTCTCCTCAGCTCTCTGTTCCTGTTTCTCGCCAAATCAAAACCTTACACAAGAGCTAAGACAATGAGCTCTGCCCTAAATCAGATGGCAAGTTTGGTTTTAGAGTCTGCCAGTGAGCCTGGAGCAGTGTGTGGCTTGAGAATCCAGTTGGGAAGGAATTGTGGTTTGAGGGTTTTCCATTGGAAAATGCCATGGCAGTTCTAAGAATAGGCATTAAAGGAGAGAGAAGTAGATTCTGTCCCAAAAAACAAATATGGTGAAATCCCTGACTAAGGCTGAGAAGTAATCCTGGATTTATTGCCAACACTGGAGTGTCCAGATACCAACCAAGGTCTGTGCTGGGGAAGCCAAAGCACACTGAAGATATTGCATCATTCCTATCTTTTTTTAATCCCATTATGTCATGAGAATTCTCTTGAGCCTTGGTTTCATAGGAAGTGAGGAGAGATTTCTTGCCTAGCTGGTCAGTAGGATGAGAAGGCAAGTCTTAAGGTAGCCAGCTGGGAAATCTGCCTCATCCTCCTGGGAAAGCTCCACAGGAGTTCCATGTCCTTCCCAGAGCTGTGAGCCAGTGGAGTTGGGATTGGCAGTGCTGGGGAAGCTGATGGAAGTTCTTCACTATGAACACAGGCACAGTGTGGTGACTCTAAAAACTCATCTCAGTACCCACTGCAGGGGGAGGAGACTGAACATAGTCCTTGTTCTGCAGAGAGATTTGCACATCAAATCATGGAGCTTCAAAAGAGATCAGTGATGCCACACTAATATTCCTAGGATATTGAATTCCAGAGTCACTGAGGCTGGAAAAGACCTTCAGATCAAGTCCAGCCTTTGATCATCACCTTGTCAACTAGACCAGAGCACTGAGTGCCACATCCCATTGTTTCTCAAACCCCTCCAGGGATGGTGACTCCACCACTGCCCTGGGCAGCATGTTCCAAAGTTTAACAGCCCTTTCCATGGAGAAACTCTTCCTGATGTCCAACCTGAACCTCCCCTGGTGCAGCTGGGTAGATCCCAGCTTTGGTGCCCTCTGCTTTTCACCTGTTTTGGTAGGACTTAAATTCACTGAAGGAAATGAAGTTGACCTCATACTGTTAGACTCTTGTTTTTCCTTCCAGCTGCAGCAGAATTCAGAATGGCCTCAGGAAAGAGCCCAAACCCAGACCTGTTCCAGGCTGAGGAGCAGCAGCAAGCAGTAAGTGCCAGGACAACACACACCAGTCAACCCACCCACTGACACATCCACTGCTAAACTTCCTCCAGCACCCCCAAAACCAGGCTGGGGAGACAGAGATTAACCATGAAGCTGTGGCCAAATCGAAACTCAGTTAACACAGGAGGTAACTGCTTAGCTCAAGAGAACTTCTGGGCTGGCTCAAGTGATGCAAGTGATTCTGACACATGAGCTGTTACAGGTCCTACTTCCACATCTGAGTTGGTGCTGAAACCAGTGTGACTCAGAATTCATGTGCCCAGAGCTCAAAATTTTAACCTCAGCTTGTTGCTGACTTGGTAGAGGCCTTTGGATGAGTCTCCTCAACTTTAAGAAGGATGAGGAGATGGATTGGGTGTCCCCTTGGGATAGACACCCATCAGCTTGAGGCTGGACTCTAATGTCACTTTTCTCTTGGGTTTTAGAGTGCTGTCAATAGAGTAACCAGCTTGCCCTTGCTCAACTCTGCATTCAACCTGGTCTCCTCTGCCTACAACTACACCAAGGAGTCTCACCCTTGCCTCAGTGGTGTCTGCAACGTGGCTGAGACAGTGGCTGCCGTGGCAGTGGGCAGTGTGGTTGGAAAAAAAAAACCTCGAGCCACAGAGTGAGTGAAGGGGCTGGAAAGAACCTTGGAATAGGTGGGGAGGGAATTCCCTGAGCCTGTTGAGTGATATCCAGCTCCTACAGCACATTACTCCAGTTAATTCCAGCACTGAGCCTTCCACTCAGCAGCTCCCAGACACTGAATTTCATGGGCATGAAACTGGTACTGGCAGAAGCAATGTGGTTTCTTTGAGTCGCTAAGTAGAAACTCCCTGTTCTTCCTCAATCACTCCAAGTTCTGCCCATCCCAGCTGGTAGGAGCAGTGTCCAACTTGGATCTAGCTCAGTTTAGCTCCTCTCAACACTTTTCAGCCCTTTGAACCCATTGCCCTACCCACCAGGGCTACACTCCAACTACTGCTAGAAGGCAAATGGAGACTATTTGACCCTGCCGAATTGTAGGGCTTGTACATTTTTTAAGACACCCACACACATCCCTCTGTAGAATGGGGATTTTTTGGGGGAGTAAGATTTGTTTTCATGAGTGTGTCCTGAACTAGCCATTGTAGGGTTAAAAATCCCTCCCCAAACTGAAGAATAAACTGGTACCTGTTGTGTCTTCTAGTTGCACTTGTGAATGAATATGCTTGTAAAGGGCTGGATCAGCTGGAGGAGAACTTGCCTTTTCTTCAGCAGCCAGCAGATAAGGTAAGGAAAGGTTTTTCCTGGAAAGCCATGGCTTTACGGAGCTGGTACAGAATTAAATGGGGAATAAGCTTCAGCAGCAGAACTGTGTCAGCTCAGTGTCCCTGGTGTGGGCTAGAGGAGGCACTGCCAGCTGAGGAATGCTGGGGAGATGCCTTCAGTGAACATGACCATGTAAATATGGGTGTTCCCAAGCACAGCTAACCCATATGGAAAAGTTCTTTTGGGGAGGGGAATCCTATCTCGGAGAAATAAAGTATCTTTCTCTACCTCTCCCTGCTGTAGGTCATCTCAGACACCAAGCAGCTGGTTTCCACCAAGGTGACATCAGCTATGGATGCTGCCTGTGAGGCAAGAGAAGCCATGGCTGAGAAAGTCACTGAAGCTGTGGACCTCACTAAAAATGTTGTTGGGGACAGTGTCAAGTTGACCAGGTCTATGGTCACCTCCACTGTTAACAGTGCTGTGGAGGCTGCTCAGGGTGCCAAGGAGCTGGTGACCAACAAGGTGACAGAGGCTGTGGATGTCACTAAACACATTGTAGAAGACAGGGTTGACAAGACCAAGACTGCAGTTGCTTCCACTATTGTCAACGCTGTGGAGGCTGCTCAGGGTGCCAAGGAGCTGGTGACCAACAAGGTGACAGAGGCTGTGGACCTCAGCAAGCACATTGTGGAGGACAGTGTTGACAGGACCAAGTCTGCTGTTGCTTCTACGATCTCTGCTGCTGTAGGAGCTGCCCAAGGTGCCAAGGACCTGGTGACCAACAAGGTTACCAAAGCAGTAGATGTCACTAAACACATGGTGGAGGACAGTGTTGACATGACCAAGTCTGCAGTTACTTCGACTATTGTCAGTGCCAAGGAGCTGGTGACAGACAAGGTGACCAAAGCAGTGGACCTCAGTAAGCACATTGTAGAAGACAGTGTTGACAGGACCAAGTCTGCAGTTGCTTCTACTATTGTCAACGCTGTGGAGGCTGCTCAGGGTGCCAAGGACCTGGTGACCAACAAGGTTACCAAAGCAGTAGATGTCACTAAACACATGGTGGAGGACAGTGTTGACATGACCAAGTCTGCAGTTACTTCCACTATTGTCAGTGCCAAGGAGCTGGTGACAGACAAGGTGACCAAAGCAGTGACCTGACCAAAGGGGCTGTGCAGGATAGTGTTGAGAAGACCAAATCTGTGGTCACTTCTACAGTCAGTACAGCTCTGGATGCTGCATATGGCACCATCGCTAGCAAGATAAACACAGCCTTGGAGCACAGCAAAGAGGCTCTCCAGGAGGGTGTGGAGATGACCAATTCAGTGGTGGCCAACAGCATAAGCAAAGCCAAGGCAGTGAGCCAAGCTGTGGCTGGAGGGGTGGAAACTGTCCTGGGTATGTCAGAAGACCTGGTGGACAACTACCTCCCGATGACTGAGGAGGAACTAGGTAAGAAAATACTTACCTGGCGGTTGTGAATGCAAATCCTTTCCCACATGACTAGAGAGCACCTGACACTGCAAGACTCATCTTCTGAAGTACACAGGTAGCTCTGAACCTGCCAGCAAGCTGGTTGGCTGTCAACACCAAATTGCCACATGGTATGGGACAGCATTCAAGCATTTCCTAGCTGGTCCTTGCCCATCAGCCTCAAGGTAAACAACCACGTGGGTGCACACTTCAACCTAACCGTCAAGTCTGCTTATCTGAAAAGAACATGCTGAGCAGGGACTAACCTGCCTCTAACACCTGAGCAACTCCAAATCTCTCCTGTTCCCACAGCAAGCTTCAGCCTTCATGTTTTCCAATGGGTGATCTTGCCTCTTGCCCCCACACACACCTCACAGCTGGGGAGTGGAGCTGCATCTCTGTTCTTGTCTCCTCCAGGTAAACTGGCCACCACTGTGGAGGGGTTTGAGATGTCTTCTGTGGAGGAGCAGAAACGGCAGAGGAGCTACTTTGTGCGCTTGGGGTCTCTCTCCAGCAAAGTCCAGCACAGAGCCTACCAGCTCTCCCTCAGCAAGCTGCAGTGCATCAGGCACAGAACCCAGGACATCCTCTCACGACTACAGCAGGCAATAAAACTGGTACAAACACGCTTTTCCCTCTTTCCTCTTGTCTGTAGCCTTCCTGCTCTGCTACCCAGCTGGAATCTCTCCATCCTGCACCAGCTACGTGTCAGCTTGGATCCCTCCCTGGGAGGGAAGTGCTTGTGCTTCTTGGGGTGTGCTTGCAATACAGCTGTTCCTCTCCTTTCTCCCATCAGATTGAAGGTGTGAAACAGGAGGTTGGCCAGAAGCTGCTGGATGGGCAGGAGAAGCTCCATCAGCTGTGGGTGGACTGGAGCCTAACCCAACCCAAAGGCAACCAAGTTCAAACTGCCTGCCAGCCAGAGGTATCCCTGGAAGGTGTATCTAATCAGGCCTCACATGGTTGGTGTCTATCCCATCTGCTCTAGTAACTGAGCTGTCTCTCTCCCAGCAGGTAGAGTCCCGGACTCTAGCTATGCTGAGGATCATCACTCAGCAGCTACCACCTATCTATGAGAACCTGAAACTCAGCATCCAAGGCCTTCCCTGCAACATCCAGGAAGTTCTGTATGAGGCTACTCGAAAAATCCACAAGCTCCATAGCTCTTTTTCCAGTGCTGTGTCTTTCCAGGACCTCTCCAGCACCACCCTGACCCAGAGCCAGGACCATGTGGCAGAAGCCCAGAGGTCCCTTGATGTCCTGTTAGAGTATGTCACTCAGAGCATCCCTCTAAACTGGCTTGTGGGGCCCTTCAGGGCCATAGCTAAGGGGGCACAGGACAGCAGAAAGCAGAAGAAAGATAAGGTGACTGATAGGAAGTTACCCATGTTGGAAAAGGGTCCATCATCAAAGAAGGTGACTATAGAAGCTGAAGAGCCAAAGGGAGACAACAGGACCCTGGAGAAATGGTATGATGTGTTAGAGAAGCTGGAGGAGAAGACAGAGAAGGACATAGAGGTGGCAGCAGCTGCACAGGAGATAAAAACTAGTGCACCAGAGGAAGATCTTAAATAAATCTCAGCTCTTCTGGCCAAAACTCCCTGGCTAGAATAGCACATGATCTTTTAATGGTGTGTCCAAGTGTGTCACAAGTACCTCCTGCTCTGAGTTTACAGTCAGGTGTAGCTCCAAGGAGGTTTGATAACCAAGGTGAGGTGATTCTGTATCTTCATTTACTGTTTTTAGATCTGAAAGGGAAGATGGGACCTGCACTTCAGTTTTTTAAGTCAGCCCAACTGTGTGTGTGAATGGCTAATTGGTGCTCAGATATGTGGGAGAGAAGTGGCCTCAACTAATTTTTTTGATGTTGGAGTTGTTTTTAATTCACCCAAGTTGTGGAAATCTCGAGAAGATGCTGTGCTTGACCTTTTATACCATTTCCTGCCTTCTACAAGTTGCAAAACACACATTACATGCACAACTTCCTCGTGCCTGTTGTGCTTCCGGGGAGGCTCAGCCCGGCTGGGGGCAAGAAGCTGCTTCTCAGGGAGAGATTTCTCTTCGTTGGAACAGCCAAACTCTTTTTCTTCCATAGGAAAACACTTGGCAGGGTAGAATTTCCTTTAATCATGTCACTTTGCAGGGGGATTCATCTTTCCTAGTTCTGTGACTGACTTCAGGGATCATCTGTGTGTAACTCCATGCCTGAAACACTTCACAGCTCTTAAGCCATTAGGCAGCTTTTCCCAGGAGTTAATCTGCCATGGGTTGAGGATATCCTGATATTAAATTAGGGGGGATTTTAATCCGGGTGCTGGTTCTTTCCCAACAAACAATGCTTTGGTAATCATGTCTAATGTAACTGATTTGGTAACGTGTGTCCTGGCTGTGTCCCTGGGCCAGGGCTGGGGAGCAGACAGTGAATAAAGTGTGACCTGTGTGTGAACACATGTGGGTCTGTGTGTCCCTAATGCTGCAGTGTCATGTTTTCCCCTTCCCTGAGCTGGGAAGAGGTTTGCATTTACCACCTTTCTTCTCTGGACAACTTACATCTTCCCTGCTCTTCCTTGAAGGGTGGGGAGGGAATAATTTTCTGCTTAAGAAAGCATCTTCATGGTCTCTTCTCCCAGGCAACCAGCAGCAGGACAAGAGGGCACAGACTCAAGCTCTGCCAGGGGAGGGTTAGGTTGGATATTAGGAAGAGATTTTTTACAGAGAGAGTGCTCAGGCATTGGAATGTGCTGCCCAGGGAGGTGGTGGATTCACCATCCCTGGAGGTTTTCAGGCTGAGACTGGATGTGGCACTTAGTGCCATGGTCTGGTAACCATGGTAGGGTTGGACTTGATGACCTTAGAGGTCTTTTCCAACCCGATTGATTCTCTGATTATGCCCCTAAGATTTGTGCCTGTACTCCTGAAGCTCAGCTACATCTATCTGTCTGTGTCCCATTTCTGCCCGACACCTCAGGATCTCCTGGGCTTTTCCAGCCTTGCTCATCCCGATCCCGACAGTGCCCGCACTCC